GAGCTAAAAGCAATTGAGCCCTGCAAGCCTGTTGGCAAGGCAACTCTTTCACTGACTGAATCCAACCGACCGCTCAAACACTACAGTCGCCTATAAGCCTCAAGCCCCAAGATGTATACCAGGTTACGCATGGGTCTGCCCAATTGTCTACATTGCACTTTGATACGACATCTTACGGAGTCGACGTTCTATGGGGCCCGAATTACAATCCCTACATAATGCTTTGGAGTCGTAGAGATTCCCGCAGAGATTCATACATACCATTGTCAAAGGTTCGAAAGTGATAGTATCAGAAGTGAACCTGGAGGCAACAAGGAATGGGATTGCATCAGGTATCGAACCGGACGTCATCCCGACAGCAGGAGAACCCCCTGGCCGGGTCATCCTACAATCCGCTCGTCCGAAACCAGCATGATCAGCTGCGTACCGATAAACTCAGGCGTGCGCGCACACATGGAAACAGCCACGTACGCAGCCACGTTTCAGCTTGGCTCTGGGCCGGCTTCGTTGGGCACTCGGCACAGAGAAAGGAGTGCCCTCTACCTACTACCTGTCGGCGACTCTATTCCCGCGCACCCAGCATCCTCAACCCTTGTTTGCAAACCTTTAAGTGGAGAGGCCTTGGGGACTTTGGCCACCGGAGGAGCAGCGCTGCGTGGAAGCAGAAGGTTTTCTGGTGATCTAGTCCAGGGTTCATCTGCCTCAGGATCTTCCATGCGATGCTGAGAAGTTGCAGTCCAATTTGGTTCCCAAAACGTCCCAAAAGGCATGTCGCGTTTTCTGAAATCCGAGCGTGGGCGAACCGGAAGTGCAACGTCTCCCTTTAGAGTTACTGCATGTTGTAGGATGATGTAGGGATTTAAAGACACGGGATTGTGGTGTCGGGTTTGCCGTTTCCCGACCACCCCAAGCTTAACGGGTGCGTGGGTTGGCGGGGGAGGTTTGCAAGAGGCTGTGCAGCTTGGACTTTGTGGGGCTTAGTTCTGCCCTGCTGCCACATCTGCAGCCGGCCGAAGTGCGAAACCACTTCCTTGCGAGTCGAGGTGACACCTGCTGCTCCCAGGACTCTGAGTGAGGGGCCATTGCTTCAGGGCCGTCGGATGGGTTTTGGAGTAGGGATTCAGGGTCGGGTCTGACACTGCAAGTACCATGTCGGTTTCAGGGTATCCGGCCTGTTTCACTCCCGTGGAAGCGTCGAGGCGCGCTTCCAAGGCAGTGAGCCCAAGAAGAGGTGCTGGTTGGAGCAGTGAGTAGTCGGCGCCTCTCCTGATCCTGGCAAAAGGTAATTGTGTGCCTGGGCCACCCTCAATCTTTAAATCCAGACTTGTACGCTTTCGTCCAGCTGCAGCTGGGCGTGCAGCACAAACGAGCCATGATGACTCTGGCTACCTCATCTTGGGCCTGACGTCGAACTTCGTAGAATGTTAGGCAGTTGCTGAGCCAAACGCACGGCTTCTGCAGCACTTGTTCATGGGCTGGCGCATGTGCGAAACTTATTCTCAATCATGCTGGTTCTTTTTCGGATGTATGTTGGGGTTCGGGAAAGTGATTCAAGGCAAGTGTTTACCAGTCTTGCTGGGATAGGGATCAAAAAAAAATAAAAAAGGATCAAAAAGAAAATAAAAAAGGATCAAAAAGAAAATAAAAAAGGATCAAAAAAAAAATAAGGTCGCGATCGACGACCCTCTCACACGAAACGCGTCTCGAGGCGCAAAAACTCGAGTTTTGGTACGTTCTCAGAGCACGATGGACGACCCTCCCACACGACACGCATCTCGAGGCGCTAAAACCCTGAGTTTTGGCACGTTTTCCGAGTGGAACTCTTGGCTTCCCGGCTTCTTGGCTTGTTGCCTTCTTGGCTTCTTGGCTTCCTGGCGCTCCTCGGCTTTTAGCTTTTTGGCTTCTTGGCTTCTTGGCTTCTTTTTTGAGTCGCAACCGCTTGCTTCAACGCATACGCGTGTGTCGAAAGCCATGATGCGAGGATTGTGTTTGCAAATGGGGGGGGCTGCGCCCCCCCCAACCCCCCCGCTTTTTAAGTCGCGCAAGCTTGCTTCGAAAAATAAGCGTTTTTTTTTCGATTTTTCAATTCGCGCAAGCTTGCTTCAAAGCATACGTCTTTTCGAGACCCATGATGCGAGCATTGTGTTTGCAACTGGGGGGTCTTACTACTACTACTACTACAACTACTACTACTACTACTACTACTACTACTGCTACTACTACTTCTCCTGCGACTACGATTACGACTACTGCTGCTGCTGCTCCTACTACTACTACTACTACTACTACTACTACTACTACTACTACTACTACTACTACTACTACTACTACTACAGCAACAACTATTATTATTATATTACTACTACTACTACTACTACTACTGATATATTATATATTGTATACTATATTTTATATGTTATTTATTATATACTACCATTATTATGTATTATATATTTTAAAATTAGGTCTTAGATATTAAATATCATGTATTATATCTATATATATATATATCTTATTATATACAGTATATATATATATATGTTAGATAATATATAGACATTAGACATTAAATATTAAATATTATATATTATATGTTATGTATTATAAAAGAAATAGTTTATATTATATGATATTATATCATAAACTATTATATTGAATTATATTTCATTATAGTGTATTCTATTCTATGTTATTGTATTATATTATTCATAATGTATCTTATATCATATGTTTAAACATTTTTTAAAATATTATATTATATATTCCTTGATAATATAATATATTGTATTATATCGTACATGATATGTTCTGTTAATATTAATATGAATACAATGTTCATATGAGTTTTAATATTAGTATTAATATTAATATTAAAATTAATATTCATATTAATTTTGATAGGAATATTTATAGTAATATTATTATTAATATTACTATTAACATTAATATGAAGATTAACATGAATATAAATAAATAAATATAGAGATGCATAATATATTGGTCGATCGCGTCGCGAGCAACATACCAAAACTCGAGTTTAAGCGCCTCGAGATTCGTGTGAGGGGGTTGTCGATCGTGCTCCGAAAACGTCCCAAAACTCGAGTTTTGGCGCCTCGAGATGCGTTTCGTGTGAGAGGGAGGGTCGTCAATCGTGCCCGGAAAACCTTTCCAAAACTCGAGGTTTAGCGCCTCGACACGCGTTTCGTGTGAGAGGGTCCTCGATCGGGTTCCGAAAACGTACCAAAAATCGAGTTTTAGTACTCGAACGTTCGAAGTTTATTTTCTTTTTGATCCTTTTTTATTATTTTTTTGATCCTGGGCTGCGTATTTTTTTTTTTGATCCTTTTTTATTTTTTTTTTGATCCGGCAGCCTCCCTTGCTGGGCAGTTTTCTTCTTCGCCAGGCAGTAGTCTGCATGCCTCAGCTGTCAAACAGGTGTGGCCAGACAGAGTGGCAAATTGCACCTCTGGATGTGGACATGCATGGCCAACTGGTCTAAGATCCACGCACCCAACCCTCAAATAGTCCTTAATTGCTTGGCCGCAGAGCCATTGGTTGCAGAACGGGCCGTCTCTTTGCAAAAAAGGTGCACATACCACTATGTTCAAGTAGGAACAGAAGCCGGCGGAGCTTGTCCTCTCACAATCTGGGCTTGCTTGACCCAACTGGCTTGACGCGGCTCCGTGCTTCTTCTCAAATGAAGCAGTCGCAGGAGCCACTCCAATACCAGCGGGTCATGCACTGTGCTTTTTCAATTCGGCACCATTATCACTGCGATTTACCTCTGCCAGGCGTGAGAACGTTGAGCCCGAAACTTCTGCCAAACGGAACCCTTGGTACACCGGAAGAGCCTATACCCATACCCAGCAAGCGCCGAGCCTTGCAGACTCTGAGATGAACTCATGCGAGAGAAAAGAAGTTGCCATGCCTCTTGCCGGTGAACCGTCTCTATTCTAGACCCATTGAGATTGCACACAATGCTTTAGCTAAGGTTTGTTGGGGTATGTTTCAGGTCGGGCTGTGTGGCTCTGGGTTTTTTGCAGGGCTTGTAGAGTGTATATGTAGGGTTGGGGTTGCTAATTCTTAAAATATTTAGAGGGGTTTACTGTAGGGCTTGTTTTGTTGCTGCGGCCTTCCCAGCATATGGCATTTGCCTCACAGGGTGGCTGCAAAAAAAGCGTTCAGGGATTTTGTTCCTTCAGAGCTTAAGGACGTCCACTGGTTCATCTTGTTTGCCTTCTTGTTTATCCTTTGCACCTTGTCGAACTGCCGATGCCCCTGTGAATTGCTTCAGCCTCTAGCCAAGGCAGCATCCCTGCCTCCGACAGCGATGAGTGAGCCCGGGTATGCCTCAGGGTAACTGTTGGGATGCTAGATGGTCTAGCTTAGAGGCTGGTCGGCTCATATTCTCTAAGTGCGCGGCAGTGTTCATTAGCCATTGGCTGCTAAATAGAGGAGTGGCTGCGAAGACCCAGCCGGTGAACAAATCAAAGCTACATATCGGCAATAGCAGTCACTTCAATGGTCTTGCACCACGGGAACGTTTGAGTCTGGCCTTCTTCTATGAGGAATTACATCCATGAGTCTTCATGCAAGTCATCTTTGCATACGCTGCGGAGCAACTGCGTACAAAGGCCACCGGTTTCGGCCCTTGAGGGCCATGCAGACAGACTTTGCACGTCTTGGCAGCCTCCCTTACCTGCGCCTGCATGGTTCCAAAAGACTTTGCTGCTGGGGCTTCCGATGCTTTGACAACCTTGAAACATGCAGACTCCCACACGCTACACAAACTACGACCCTCTGCCCCATTCGCACCCTAAATTATCAAACCTACACCGTACACCAAAAAAACCCAGATCTAATGCCCCAAGAGCTCAACCCTCCCAAGACTCAAGCCTTGGGCTGGGCATGATCTGTTGGCGAAAGTTGCTTCCTGGACTTTGCCGGCCTGTCATTGCAAAGCCACATCTCTTTGCTTGCAGCGGGCTTTGCTGCGGCAGGTTGCGAAGATGGTCGGGCCAAAGAAGCAAGCTTTGGCCGGAGCCGAAGCGCCTCCTGGCTTGGAAGAACTAACCTAGGTAGGCCCTTGGGACATTTCATACATTTTCCCTTATTGGGTTTAACCGGATCCTATTCAGGAATATTTTTCAGAGGGTTTCAAGGGCCATCCTAGTAACGGGTTATCTCGACAGAGACCACACGGCAGGTTGGGTCCCGGATTTTGGGTTTGGAGCGTGCAGGTTGATGTCTCGATGGTTTGGGGGGTGTGGGGAGGCGCTTGGGTATCTCTCTGAATGGCCTGCAGCCAAAACTGCGCCCATGACAAATGACAATGGCCTCTTACTCCCTGACCATGCCTCAAAAAGCCCCATCACATGAACTTGACCCCAAAACCCTCTATCTGCTCTTAAAGCTTTCAACTCTAATTCTATAAGTCCTCTAAGTGCCCCAAAGGTCAAACCCAATCCTTTCAACTTGCCACAAACCCTTGAGGCAGCTCGCCGAGGCGGAGGCTGCACTTGCCCCACGGCATGCAACGTGGGGCTAAGGGGTGGGGCCTCCTGGTAAGAGCAGCGAACGAAGTCCGGGAGAATGTAGCAAGGCATCGGAAGGTCGGGGAGTTGAGGAGGCCCGGTAGGTTTCCAGCCCAACATGCGACACATCGACCTTGTTGGCGCCCGGAACGAACCCCCCATGATTTGCTCTGGCCTTAGGTCTTCTCTAACAGTTTTTGCCGGACAGGGGGTCGGGCCTTTTGTAGAGCTCTTCGGACCTCTGTTGGCTTCTTCCGGGCTTGTTCTGGGCCTCTTCTGGGCCTGTTCTGGGCCTGTTTGGGCTTGACTGTCAACCTTGACCTCGGCTCTGAGCTCCCAGCTTTATGGCTGCTCTGTCTGCAGCCGGCAGATCAGAGCGATGCTAAGGCTCTGGACGTTTTACGTGATGAAGATCGTTCATGAAACAAACTTTTTGGCGTTTGTTTCTGGACACCTGCTTTGGACCCGCTTTGAAAGAGATGGCAACATTAGGGGATCTCTCGTCTGGGAGTTTCACACCACCTGGCGGCTGGCTTCGCTCAATTCGGGCTTGCAGACTTCAATGTACAACAAGCGGGAGTCCAGTCTGAAACCCCCATACCTCATAATCCGTTAAATATGCCCTCAAGTGCAGTGCAAGGTCTGGAGGCTTCTTGTTGTTTTGCTGCAGGTTTCAGGTTTGTGGGTCCAACCAGGCGGGGGCGGGTTGGTTGGGGGTTCCGCAAACCCGGAACGGCACTGGACACTCGAGTCAGGGATTGACTGCAATCAGTTGGAGCTGGATCTTGCTCATCGCCCATCCTCGTATGCATTTCAGGGTAGAGTAGCAGTAGGACGCAACTTTTTGCAAATTACAAGTGGGCTAGTTAAGCTAGTTTTGTTTGGTTTTAATTTTAATCTTCGGGCGATGTGAGGAGATAGATGTAGAAGCACCCCTGCTCTGAAATGGATGTAGAGGGCAGCGTGCATGTCAAGTCTAGACCAAAGTCTGAAGAAGTCCGAACCATCAGACTTGTCCACTAGGCGCTGTCAGCTCGCAAATACTCCAACCATCTCCTGTAATGCAGTTGATGTGCACCTTGATCCCAGGCAATCAAGAAGGCCATGGCATCACAGTTGAGTCGAGCAACGATGCCCCAGCTTGTTGTGTTCTGGTGCAGTTGTTCGTTGGCGGGTGCTTCTGACACGTGCTGTGCCTCAAAGAATGTACTTGGCTGGGCAAGTCTGCCGGGATGTTTATTTTGGAAACCGCAACTGGCTGTCATCCTAGCGCTGCAGTAGTCAAATGCCGCCGTGATATTGAGAGATGAACCGCAGTAAGGATTATATATTCGTGTTAACTTCTAAATTTGGGGACCCGAAACGCACGAGATTGACAAGGTCGGCTTGTGGGTGCTAACATGTAAAGTTTAAGTCCGATGCTGGTCGAGAAGCAGAACCTAAAGACGTAGTTGCCCCCTCTGCTAGAAGCTTTGAAATTGATTGCTTCGAGCCTTGAAGGTGGAGCTTGCATCTGAGGATCTACTGAAAATACTAGATTCTACTATACATGGCGAACATCGTGCACCCGAAACCGACAGAAGGAGCCTGTCTAAGACGACATGCGAAGATGCCTAAGCTGCAAAGAGGCCAAACAAGACGTTTGCAAAAGCTCGAACGGGTCGAGAAAGAGCACTTCAACCTGCACCAAAGAACCTGCCAGCCCTGCAGGCAGAGCTCCAGAAGGTACAGGACAACGTTGCCAAGCTTCTTGAGGACGAATCCCATCCCCTCCCAGACATTCTGAACCTTGTCGCCAGAGCCGGCAGCCCTCCTTGCATGTCAATGTAAGCGTAGAGAGACGGGTCCTTGAACGATCGTGTGTCACGATCAGAAAGAACTGAAAGTGAGACTTCAGAATTGACGCCTATTCTGAGCGCAAGGTTGAGAATTTGTCCTGGGTCCTCCCCAGCCTGTTGCATGACTCGTGCTGCAGGACTTCGCCACGGCGAAGCAAAAGAAAGATGACCTGCAGAATCAATTTGAGGTGCCCTTGCCATCGAGGGCTTCACTATTTCCTCCCCCCTGCCGAAGCTCCCCTGCGAAGCTCCGAACCATCCTTGTAAATGAGATGGTAGGACCCCTGATGCTTTTGCTGATACTGACGGCCTTCGCATGATTTAAATGTGGCAGCGTGGGTTGGATTTTGCTCTTTGGCTTTCGGCTTTTCTAGCTACTAAGTTGTAGTGAGTAGTGGTTTTTGACAGTGCCCATAGAACTGCCGTTTTAGTTCAGATGGATGCAGCAGACTTGTATCATTCAGTTTTTGCACCCAGCCTGTCACACTCAGCAACCCTGCTGAGTGGGCGCGTGCGCAGAATTTCGGATAGCTCGTGGAAGCACCGAAAACCGCTCGAAGGTCTGCTCCAAGCGCTTGGTCACGGCAGAGAAGCTGATAAACGGCCTCGGCATCTTGGGCATCTTTAGTAGGAGGTTTTGGGGTTTAGGGTTTAGGGGATTTAGGAATGCATAAGGATGCAGGGCTCGTGGGGCTTAGGAAGACGGGTCGTAGGCCGTTTCACGCTTTCCACTGGAACCTTCAACCTGAAACCCCACATTACATCTAATTTCTGCAGTGTGGTGCCAGGCTGTTAGGCTGCCAGGCAGGTTTCCGAAAATCCCTCAACACCAAACCCTAAACCGCCTAGTTAGTCGACCAGTCATGAAGATCAGGGATCCCTGCGGAGTGGTTTTTGTCCAGCTGTGCGGGTGCCTCAAAAAAAACCCGCCTAAGCCTCCCAAATTCTAATCTTTGGCTGCCCTCAAGCCCAGGTGGGGAGAAGTCGCGGTGGGAAGCATCATCGGCCAAATTGGGAGAGCAGCTGCCCGGCTATTTCGAAAGGAGAGGCCACGAAGATGTTCCAATCGAGAGGGATTCAGCCAGGTCTTGCGTTGGCTTGCCTGAGTGTCTGCGCATCAGAGATCTTGGGGATATATAGAGAACTGTTCACGAACCTCCACATAATCTTCGATCTATTAGTAGGACCCTGACCGATGAACGCGTCCTCTGACAGCGTCTTCCGGCAGTGTCCTCCATCAGGCGAGTCTCGTATTTTGGGTTCTCAGGTATGACAACCTCACTGGCGATGTGCTGATATCCTCGGGCATCATCGCTTACCTGGGCTGTTTCCTTGCAAAGTACCGCCTCGAGTCGGTGGACTCGTGGATTTCACTGATGCGGGACAACAAAGTGCCCTCCTCTTCCTCTTTCTTGCTGCGGTCCGTTATCGGCGAGGATGTGGCCACAAGTCCGCATAGCAGGTTTAGCATGCATGAGGGTCCCTTTCCTCAAGGTCAAAACGCTTAATTGGCAGCTCCGCTCTAGCCCTCGTTAGTCCGAAGCCCTCGTCAGTCCTATGCGGACTTGCAATTACGTTTCTTTGCAGGCTTCCCCTCGCCAACTCTGCTTGCGTGCACCTAGGAGATACGCCAGTGGGTCATCGACAAACTGCCAAACGATCAGGCAGGGCGGCAGCCTTGGAACCAAGATCCTTTCGAGAACTCAGCGGGCTTCACTACCTGCTGTCATCAGAACCCTTTGAAGAGTTTCTACATATGGCCAGGTGTCCATCGACAATGCCCTTATCTCGAAGAACTCCAGGCGCTGGCCCTTGATGATCGACCCTCAAATCCAGGCCCGTCTTGGGGCTTGAAGTGTTGCAAGTTACTTGGGATGGGTCCCAACTAAGTGACCTTCTGGGATTTGTTCTCTTACCGCACTTCTAGTTTATATAGGGTTGTGATAGTATACAGTACACCTTGTTGCAGAATACCATTCTTGCTTGCAGAATATTCTGCGACGATTTTGGGTCAATACCTTCAGATTTCACAGAATCCGACGGTGACTAAGGGACGCAGGGCGGAGATGCTGGGATGAAGGGTTCGGATTCTGACCGGGCTTGTCGGAAGTCATCTTGTTTTTCTCATGTTTTGCATTATGTCATAGAATATGTCAGCGCCGTCCATCGCCACTGGCCCCGAACCTCAAAGGGGCGCCTGGGTTCTGGCGTGTAATTACACATATAACTTATGGCGCATGCCCTGGGTTCATCTATTCCACTAAGCAGCAGCGCCTTGAAGTGGCCTTGAAGTGGAGACAAGAAATCCTGAACTGACTCTGAGACGAGGCCAATAAGTGGATCAGGAACTCGAAGGGTGACAAGCTGCTTGTCCTGCGACTCTCACAGCTTCTCGGCGCCCAGAGCTTTAGTCCCACCCCCACTCTGACTCCTCGCTCACTGTTTTTTTGGTTGTCTCTTTCCTCTCATCCGTCTCGACTCATGTGCGCATGCACAGGGCCTATGTAATGAACTCACATCATGAACACGTGTACATTTTCTGGAGAAAGACATGTGAACATGCACACTTTGAAAAATTCCACAGGCCTTACACGCTTCTTTCCTCCAAACCCTGAAGCCCCCCCGCCCCCCCCGAAGCTCAGGAACAACTATGCAAGGAAGCTGGAAGTTGGTATCTCCCAGGGGCAGCCGGTGCTCATCGAGAATGTGCCCGAGGCAGGCTCAACGTTCGTGCAGGCGTTGGATGCTTAGGGGTTCAGGGTTTAAGGGTTAAGGGTTTAGAGTTTAGGGTTTGGGGGCGAAGAACCTTCGCCCCCAAGACCCGTTGCAAAAAGGGTTTAGGGTCGGTTGCCACGCGCGCTGCGATCCAGACTCTCGTTTATGGTGCCTAGCCTTATGAAGCCCTTGAAGCACCCCCCACCTTACACCCCCGTCGGACCCAAATGCTACTATCCTTGCATCAAACATCAGCCCAACATGTTTGGTAGCAACCAAAGAGTGCAGCCTTCCCACTTCAGGGCTTAGGGCTTCCGAGATCCAAAACCTCAAAAGTCTGTTTCGGTCTCCCAACCCGAACTCCGTCCTAAAACAGTCACATCCCTCCAAGAGCTTGCCCAGACAGTCGGGCCTTCCCTGTAGCCGGGAAGGTGCTGGATCCTCTGTTGGAGCCACTGTTGCAGAAAGCCAAGTTCAAGGCAGGCAACATGATCATGACGCTCGCTTCCAGAAGCAGTCCGGGTACAAGTTGAAATTCAGGTTCGTTTCCGCATTTACGGGTTTGGAGTTTTCAAGCTTCAGGATTTCCTAGCGAGGTGTAGGCTTTCCGGCTTAATGAAGCCCTCGACAGGCGGGTCCCTGGATGTGTGGGTAGATTTCTCGTAGAGCCCAGGGTCGTAAAGCCCTGAGTTCTGCACTATAGGCTCTAGCAAGCAGAAACCCCAGAAAATACCCTCAAATACCCTCAAATACCCTCAAATACCCTCAAATACCCTCAACCCATCACCCATCGAAGCACCGAGGATTCGGCTTGGGGACTCCACGGTCGAGTACAACGAGGACATGCTCCAGCAAACCCCTAAGTATACGGCTTCCACGGGTTCGAGGGCTGGTTTGGGGTTTGGGGGTTGGGGCTAAAGGGTTTGGGGGGTAGATGTTGCAAAGGTGGGAAGTTCAATGTGCAAGGGTTGGGGTGGTCAATCATCACATTTGCCGCGACTGATGCCTCGTATCTGAACCACACTGGCCCGGTGGGGGGGAACAGGAGTCGAGGTTGGTGCATGAGGCCACATTTAGGATTGAAAAGGGTGAATGTTGAACAACATGTGGCGCTTCGAACGTGAGCATTTCGGCAGGACTTCCGCTTGTACATCACGACCAAGCTGCCAAATCCCCATTACTCACCTGAGATTTGCGTGCAGGCTTGCAGGGACTCACTGCAGAGCGAAGACCTTCGTCGAAGTCTTCTTCGAAAATTAGGCCCTGCCCTCTCGCTGATGCTCGCCATGTCCAGGTAACGCTGCTGAACTTCATGGTGACCCCAGATGGCTTGCAAGATCAGATGCTGGGCATTCTTGTGCAAAAGGCCTGCAAGGGGGCAGCAGCTTACATGAGTCTGTGAGAGGACTTGGCAAGTGGCGTTTGCTTCGTACATGGGTCCCCAGCTGCCAGGAAGAGCCGGAAGTGGAGAAGAAGCGGCAGAACTTGCCCCTCGGCTACTAGCAACTCTAGAATGAGCATGAGCTTTCTCTCAAGCTCATGGGCCCTCAACCCCAAGAAGCCCAGGATTATTGAGAGTGCCCAAAGCAAAGCACAGCTCAAGGAGATCGAGGACTGCCCTTTTGGGTTAGACGGTCTTGCTTTGGGGCCCATGGCGAGCAGAATAGCGTGTTGGGCGTGTGGCAGTGTATGGCCTGTTGGCCTCACGGTCAAAACATGTTTAACTGGCTTGTTGGGATGCAACGGTGCGTTCCTTTCCTGCCGTCCTGGTTTACAATGCCACTGCCCGACTTGCAGAAGATGGAGATCAGAAAATCATGAATCTTGCCTTGCACCGCCTTCCCTGCAGGATAAAATTCTGGAGCTGCTTTCGAACTCCAAGGGCAACATCTTGGACGATGAGGACACGTTGCCCAGCGGGGGCATCCAGCATGTCGCACCATCATGTGCCATCCCAGGTTGTCAAGCTTCACTCGGCATTGGGCAGCTTTTACGTTAAGCCAACTATCGGCACCCTCTGTTTTTCGGGTGTTTACTTTTTTGTTCTGGCGCGTTTTCGGCTCTATTCAAACTAAAGACTTAGTCACGGCAGCGCCCTTCTCTCCAGAACCACTACCAACCCCCCTCAAGAGCTCCTCGGCTTCAACTCGTCTCTCCAACAGCTGCATTCGTTATATCCTCGCAAGCCGGCCACAGATACCCGGCGTCATCTCGGTTGCTTTTCTTGTTGCCGGGACCGGCAGGAAGGGATGCTGTCAAAGTCATCCGCCCTGAGGGTTTAGGGGCTTATGGCTTAGCGAGGCGCCCGAAGTCTCGCTGTTTGAGCACGTTGCTTCTTTTAGCCTACGCTCCGCTGCCCGAGTTCTGCTGGCTGTGGAGGATGAAGGTTCAAGCGCCCAAGGATTTCAGAACACGGGTTCCCGTGCGCCGTACTTCTCACTTTTCTGTTGCTCTGTCTGCTATGTGGTTTTTCAATTGGTGTTACGCCCTTCATTGGAAGAGTGCTGACGCAGTTTGACTGTCCAAAGACTTCAACGGAGCCCTAGCCAAGCATTTGGCCTCTCGCAAAAGCCTGCCGCCTCGGAAGCTCTCATGCCAGACCTGACCCTTCCTGATCATTGTTTGGGGCTCATGGCTTAGGTTTAAGCCTCCTTTTCTTTTCTCGCCCAGGTCGTAAGCTCAACAATTCCAAGCTCTTACCTCCCGCACGACAGGAGCTCATTACCACCTTGGCCAACTCCAAGGTAACATCTACCCGTGCCCTGTCGGCAACATGTTTAGCTCTGGGCAAAACTTCCGGGACTCAGACACTTGAACTTCTGCAACCTTAACCCCTGGGGGCCTTTGGGCGTCTT